ATGTGATACCATAAAAATGTCCGATAAAAAATAAAATTATGGATTTAATGTTTATATATTTAGGAAATGGCATATTGGTCATTCTACCTTGTTCTGAACTTCAACATGATTAACATGGATACTATATAAGAACAATATGTTAAGAAGGTATGATTATTGTAGTTTCAATAATTTCATTTAAGTTAACAATGCAATCTCATTCTTTTAGTGAAATAGAACGTAATTAATAAATTAATATTGACCCGATCGACTCTTATCTAGATCGATCAATCAAGATTTGACCGGGTCAATATTAATATATAGGAGCTTAATTTAATTGGGTTTGTTTAGTCCCTTCAATGTCTTCAAAATAAGAATCGAAATAAATTATAAGGGCTCTAATTTATATATTAACTATAGAAAGATAAATTAGTTAAACTGGAATGTGTTACCCAAGTGCCATTCATGTGTCATTTAAGATATGGAAGGCTTTGATTTGAAAGAGTTCTCTTTATTTAGGATCTTTATACAATCAAAAGAAACCTGATTTATCGGATTATCGGATTGCGATACCTCCTAATCAAATCCATATTATAAAGAAACATACATTAGAGTTCAATTACTAAGCAAGATCATAATAATTCTTATGCCCACACACAAAAGAAATTTCTATAGTTTTGAGTTATTGAAGAACACTAGAGAAGGTCAAAAGGTTTGAAGGCGAATCAAGAAAATCAAACTAGAAGACTCGAGGGTGGAATCAAGAAAGATCGAAGATCAAAGATCAAAGGAATATTTATAAAGCACGCTACAAGGGTAATTCCTAAAACACGTGTTTATCAATGTTTCATAATTATTTTATTCTTGTCGATACACAATTAAATGAAACCCTAATGTTTTTCCAACATTTTATACCAAAAGACTCAAATGAAGTGGTGCAACTTTATACGAATGGTTATGTAGAAATCTATATATAGATTTCATGTTTTTCACTTTGTATACACTTTGATATATGGCAAAATAATGTTCTTTTATCTCGTTTATTTTCCTTCATATTTAAATTGTTCGTTTACATAGTTTCTCCATAAAACTTGTTTATACCATGTCATTATCGAGATACAAATGGAGACATCTATAAATCTATGGTGTTTCGAATTATCTTCATGGAAGCACAATATAGACAACATTATCTTGGAGACATATTTGTGTTAACTAGTGCATCAAAACATTGACGGGAAGTTTTTATAAAATGATTTAAATTATAAATAAATAGAAATGAGTGATGAATAACAGAATAAGTGAGTATTACTAGTGAATCTCTCAAAATATATCGATAAAAGTTACGAGGATATGAAACTTGTGTCTAAGGTGTTTCCATTCAATCATATAGGGCCATTGGTTCAAAGTTGTCTATCATGCCACATTGGTTAATATTTGAGACATTCTCACGATGTGTAGATTCAAATTCGAATGACACTTTCATTTATAATTAAAGTTTGTGAAGTCTATATGAAAGAGATCATCAAAAAAAATTTCCATTTTGAAAATGACGGAGGTTGTTGAAATATTTTCAAATTTTAGTGTTGATTGATTTGATTTATCTTCATTGAGATGACGTTAAAATTAGGTAAAGTTAAATTATAAGTTCTAACGTGTTCTATATTATAGAAAAAAAAAATGATGAAAAAATCTGAAATTGTTCCTTTTTATGTTAGTTTAATGTTAGCCATTCGAGTAAATTTATTTGTACCCCTGACATTTTAAAATAAAATATATATTTATTTTTCAATAAATTATTTGCATTAATTTGAGTTTGCGTTATGTTCATGGATCGATTCAATATTATAAATCGAACATTTTAAGTCGTTAAACACGAAGAGATTCATTTTATAATTCGATCTAAAATTATTGTCCACAATTGGTAAATAAAGTCAAACACTTTATTTTGATAAGATGGTCTCAGTTTTATTTAAAATTATCTTGAATTTAGCAATAGAATTGATTGTATATTTTGGAATGTATCGAATTAGACCATGAGAAATTGATTTATGGAATTGACCGCATGAATTTAATTTCATTTGACTATTGCACGTAGTACCTTAATCATGAGCGGGTAATGAACTTTGGTTGCTAACTTGAAGTACTTTGAGGTATCAATGAGTAGAATAAATTGTTAATCAATATTTCAGTGCCTTGGGAATTAAAATGAAATAATTGAGAACGTACATTCGCAATATGGAATATGTAACCCATTTAATAGGCACGATCATAGCCTCAAGAGATTTTCTAGTGAACAGTTAAATTTGAGCTCAATAATTAAACATTTACTATTGAACTAATATTGTGATGTGATCACATGAAACTGACAAACAGAAAAATAAAATTAAGGATTTAATGTATATTTGAAAAATAGCATTTTGGTCATTCTACCTTGTTCCAAATATTCAACATGATTTACAAGTGTAATATACAAGAACAATATGTCAGAGGGTATTACTATTGTAGTTTTAATAAGTCAAATTAAGTTAACGGTGCAATCTCGTTCTTTTATTGAAATGGAATGCAATTAATAAATTACTCTTGATCCGACCTAGATCGATCAAGAGTTGACCAGGTCAAGATTAATATAGTGGAGCTTAATTTAATTGTGACCGTTTAGTCCCTTTAGTGCCTTAAAAATAAGAACTGAATTGTGATACCTCCTAATCAAATCCATATTATGAAGATGGTTTAATTCATAAGCAAGATCATAATATTTCTTATGCCAACACACAAAAGAAATTTCTATAGGTTTGAGTTCTTGAAGAATGCTGGAGAAGGTCAAAAGATTCGAAAGTAATCAAGAAGATTTGAGGGTAGAATTAAGAAGATCGAAGATTAAAGATCAAAGAAATTTTTGGAAAGCATTCTACAAGGATAATTCCTAAAACACCTATGTGTTTATCAATGTTCCATGATTATTTTATTCTTGTCGATACACAATTTAATGAAATCCTAATATTTTTCGAACATTTTATACCAAAAGATTCAAGTGAAGTGATGCAAATTTATACGAAGGGCAATGTGTGTGTGTGTAGATTTCATGTTTTTCACTTTGTACACACTTTAATATATGGCAAAATAATGTTCCTTTATCTCGCTATTTTCCTGCATATTTAACTTGTTCATTTACATATTTTCTCCATAAAACTTGTTTATACTATGTCATTATCGAGATACAAGATATGAACCTCGAATAAAGACATCTATAAATCTATGGTGTTCGAACTATCTTCATGTAAGCACAATACGGACAACATTATCTTGGAGACATATTTGTGTTCGCTATTGTATCACAATATTGATGGGAAGTGTTTATAAAATTATTTAAATTATAAATAAATAGAAATGAGCGATGAATAACAGAATAAGTGAGTATTACTAGTGAATCTATCAAAATATATCGATATAAAGTTATTTGAATGTTATAAAGAATCTATAAACATGAGTTAAGAGTTATTTTGTCAAACAGGGGCAAACGATGTTCTGCGCACGGCTGCACCACTTGTAATGGAAGCTGGGTTTATTTTGTCTATTTTGCTTTCTCTCATCTGTTTGGTTTTTTGTCACTTTCTAACCCATCACACATTTGCACATGCAATAAGAACAAAACAAAAATAATTGTAAATAAGGAAAAAGAGCATTTTATTTATTTATTTATTTTAAATGTTAAAAGGACAAAAGAAATAAATAAGTGAAAATTAATTGAAGCATCAGATCTTTTGCATTTGTTCTGTATTTGGGACTTATTCGATAACTGCATATATTCCTTTATAATTAAGACAAAAGTGAGATGGGCGAGGACTTAAATTTGAATGAAACCACGTTTGATGTCCCTCCTAATGTTTGTCTGGTAAGCCCTTGTTTGAGTCGCATTATTTTCATAAAAACATATTTTTGAATAGTGTATTGATGGGAAATGTGTATTTAAAAAATAAGAAAAACTTTCGAATTTAAGTGTAATATTATTTTATTGAAGAACATGTGATTAAAATGATGTGAAATCACTGTTTAGAATATAATTTTTTTTTTTTTAAATGTGGGTCAAACAGGACCTTAATATTCACATAAAACCAATAACAAAAGATGATGACCAATATGGAAAATGTCCTGATCGTTTTACTTTTATTTTTTCGAATCATTTTTTAGTTTAAATATAAACTGTATTTAAAAAAGACAAATAATTAAGTAAATTTTTCTTTTCATTTTGAAAATATTTGATGGGAGACAAGAAAGCCACCCCTAACGGAAAATCAAATTTTGAATATATGTTTTTGTCCTGTTTTCGACTACCTTAGCAGAATGTTTGCTCCTAAATGACATTTCGACAAGTTGGAGGTCCATTTTAGTAGGGACAACGTCAATTTTAGGGAGCATTTTCTATCAAGTTGGCCTCTGCAAGGCATTAGTAATGTACGTTACAATTTCGGCACAATGAACCAAACACGGACAACTTTGCCGTTCCAAGTCAATTTTAGACAAATCGTATAACTAGATAACGTAACACCAGTCTAGTTGACATTACATGATAAATCCAATTAAATCAATCGATTCCCGGGACGAGCGGTGCCTTCTTCACTCCTTCGTCTTGGTAAGAAAGTGATTTTTCCCGATTACGGGCCCCCTCTACTTTTTGGGCAACGGGGCCCCTTAGCCTTCACAGCACTCACTACCCAAAAATCTATCTCTAATAGTTCTTCCTCGCTTAGTCTTAAGGCCCATTTACTCAACCGAGCGAACGGATGCTGACGAGACGAAATTTTAAGAGTAGACTAACTTTGAATTAACTTATCATCTCATGCCAACTAGACCATATTCTAACATCAATGGTACTAAACATCATTATTTTCTGCCAAATTATAATTTACTAAAGTATAGTATTGTATAGAAATAAGTCAAAATTCATTCACTAACATCCATAGTTTTCTAACATATAAAAATTGTACTTCGAAGGCTTATTTAATGTAAATATACCATTTGCATCTACTAAATGATTATATTTGATTCATAAAATGGTTTTTATTGATCTTACTCTGACCAGCAAAATCACTCTACCACATCAAATAAATAAATACAGTTATCAATAGCATTTTTGTAACTTTTTTTCCGAATGACACTTCCATATGCAATTCTCCGGTACAACTTTCTTGGATATTGTCTCTTTCTACGACCGAAGGCTTTCTTCTTTCAAAAATGCTTCAGCTGTACACATACCGAACTATGTAAAAGACCCAAAAAACTCATTGTCCCATCCGAACTCATCGATACCAAACACAAATTTAACTTGAACCAATAGAGACAATATCCAAGTACCTCAGACAATTACATTAAGGAATCAAGATATCCAAATGTATGTCTTCGATTATAATGTAGCAAGCTTGCATAGGTTCTATCCCAGAGTCCAATATAGAGAGACTCGTCATCTGGACTCAGAGATACACCTGATATCTCCCCAAAGAAATCAATCTCTTGCCTTCTTTTGAAATCTGCTTTAGTACTGTAGATATGCACGAAATCTGCAGGTTCGGCCATCACCAGGAACTGCCCGTCTGATGAGAAATGGACGGATCTGATTGCGCCCATATTTCCCTTGAGAATTGTTACAGGCAATGACAGGTTTCTCGAGTCCCATACTCTGCATGTCTTGTCTTGATTTCCCGTGGCAAAGATCCTTCCCTCGGGATGCCATGCAGAAGCAAATGAGTAGTCCTGATGACCCATGAATGAAGCGACTGTCTGAAAACAGAAAAATATGAACCCGTTATACAAGGATGTTACATTTGCTCGAACAACCAAGTTTAAGCCCGTCTTAACTTAATTCTTTCAAAAAAGGACATTCGCTGTTTTTTTCCTAATCTTAGTTAAAACATGCTTAAAGCCTATTCATTAATACCACTACTCACGGGTATACATGAATTATGCGGTGCATACGAAAGTTTTTCGAAGCCAAGGAAAAAAAAAATAACAATATGAACACTTTCAAGATTGTGTGTAGAGAAAAACTTCAAAATAACAATATATATTCAGGCTATTTTGTATCAGTAATAGGATTAGAAAATACAAGAGGTCATGCCATGTTAGCAAAGGGAGAGGATCACAGAGGAATGTTGCAATTGCAGGAGGAAATCGACCTATGATTTGAACTATCAAAATTTCAGATCATCATTCGAACCTCCGTAGGAAAATTATAAGAAATTCTGAAGAATGAAAACATCATTTCTAATCAAGAAGGAAAAAATGTTAGCTAAAGAGGATCATATCAAAAAGATTTTGAATACCTTCCCATTACGAGCATCTACTAGTAATCCATCAAGGTCATCTCCAACAACTGTAAGAAGCTTCCGGTCTGGACTCACTGATGTATGCTGAATCAAGGAGCGTGAAGTTTCAGCAATGAGATTTTAAACAAATAAACACACAGCAGACTTTGTTGCAAGAAAACAATAAAATCTTGCATAATCTGACAACCTGTACTGTTAGGGTTCTTGGGAGAAGAGAGTGAAAAATCAGGGACGGATCCAAGATTGGATCCAAGACCGGGCTACAAAATTTCAAGCCAGGCTAATACAGGGGAAAAAATTTTACACAAAAGGGACGGATCCAGGATTGGATCCAAGACCGGGCTACAAAATTTCAAGCCAGGCTAATACGGGGGAAAAAATTTTACACATAAAAAAAACTGTTTTTACAGAAAAAAATGAAAAATGCCTTGACAAAAAAAAAAAAAAAAAGAATTCTTGGGCCTTGATTGAAATTTCATCATAATGATACGGGTCCATTTGATCGTGTGCCTTTTATTGTAAGTCCCTAGTGTTTAATTAACCAAATTAAAAACCTCACTTCAACAAAAGAGCGACATCTTGCTCATGAGTGTAAAGAGTTTGTCAAAAAGGTTTCTAAAATTAACTGGTAATGTGCGTGCAATTTATGAAACTTTCCTAACCCCTCACTCAACTAAATGAAACTTGCATAATTTAGGTTGAGAGTGTTTGACTAAGCTTAAAATGTGGGAAATAAGTTACTTGTGTTGACAGTGAAGCAAGAGTTACTATCAAGGAAAAGGTACCTATTCCACTTGAAAAAGAGAAAGTTATCCGTACATCTTGTCTACATAAAATAGCTTAAAGGCAGCTTTACATTTTTTTAAGGTGGAAAACATGCTCTCAGTCAATAACCATAGCTAGAGAGGGTGAGAGAGAAAAGGATTATAAGAATTGAAAATCCTAACAAAGTTCAATAGATGAAGATCTATGCAGGCTGATCTGCCAAGGAAACAAAAACAAGAGAGATAAAAGTATGAGAAAGAAAACTGACATTCACTGGCCAAGGGAAACTGAACTGATTTAAGAGCTGAAACCTCTCCATGTCATATTCTCTTACACCACAGTCATTGTTTGATGTTGTGAAATGAAGTCCACCGCTGCAAAGTAATTTGCAACTCAAAACCTATTGAATGAGCATAAATTTAATTCACAAGCAAATAACAGACCCTCAGAATACCTAGAGCTGTTAAATACTTCAATGGCATTTGTAATAGCATTCTCCTGAAAAGTGGTCCTCGCACAAAAGCTTACACCCGGTTTATCCAAACACTGCAATGTCAAGTAGACACTGTAAGCATAGGTCGCTACAAGCAATGTTTATTAAGAAGCAAATATACTTTTAGAGAAAGTAAAAGGATAAGTGAGGTAATTATAATATAGCAGAAACTGTAGCAATGATTTGAGATGTTGATGGCTATATGAGTATAATTCTATCCTAGTGGTATTCCAAACACTTGTAGAGAAATAAAAATGTATATCAGACCAAATCTAAAGTTCCTTCCATTTAATGATTCCCCAATATGTCAGAAATAAAACAAATGCCAGCATAGGATATCTATGAACTCATTGCCATGGAAAACATTGGGAATAAGATTTAACTAGGCATATGCTAGTATAAAAAAGAGGCTCAATGTAGATCTTTGAAAATTAGTTGTCTAGAAGTTCAGGGATTCTGTCAAACACTGTTTTAAACTAGAGGCAAATTTCAGCATAGCAAAGTATGTTCAACTCTGAATGAAGATGATAAAAAAGGTTAATGTCTAATTCTTGATCAAAGAAAGGAATGCGCATCAACAGGTTAAATATCAACAAGTAAAGCTTTGATGGCACCTTCTTACAAAAAAGGAAGTTAATTGAACCACTGGACGAGTTTTCAAGAATGTTGAGATGCAGAACGTCAATGACTTTCCCTTGAGTCAACTTATTTCATATTTTAACTAATTTGAGTAATTACTTGTAATATGGAAGGCAATTTCCTACAAGGCACACTACAAGGAGCAAACTGGCAGGCCATTCCAGCAGCTCTGGGCAGTATAAGTTAAGGAGACAACAGCTTAAAGGTTATTAAAGGCAACCAGAATGTCGAGAAATGCCTCTCAAACAATGCCATCATTGCCATGTGACTTTCTTCTGGATTAATTGGCACCAATTTCAGTATAATGTGGAAGAAAACTCAATGCAATTTAAATGAAAATTATTTTCCCTACTAAATTCATGAAACAAAATACTGCATCCTTGTAATAAATTCTATCGAGGTCTCTCATTCTATCAAAAATCTTAAATATTGTACAATTTATTTCCCCACTTCACTTCATTGAGTTGTCCCAACATTCAACCTTAACCATCCAAAAACCCTGCATGTTCATTGCTCACAAAGCCGGGGTAGTGTACATTTTTACCTAATCATTCACACCACAACAGCAGCCTCAATAGCTGGATCATTTTCTTCCAAACCCCAGATCTTCCATGAGAATATTAAACGCTTAATTGTAATAATTTTTTTTTTAGTTTTCAGTGCTTTTGTGCCAAAAATTCAAATCAAAATCATGCATGTGAAATTGAAAAGGAAAGGCAACAGAAAGCTAAGTCTTGTTTCAATATAGTTAAAAGGAAAAGGAAAAAAATTATCAACTTGAATCATTTACTCAAAAAGTGAGAAATTCAAAAGGTCCTGGAGGTCTGCTCTGCTCACCTTACCGACAAGTTCTCCATGGAAGCCACCTGCCACCAGAAAACGGTCCTTCACTGCAAGTGTGCTGACCTGTGTTTGTGTAAAACCTTCTGACAAGCTCCCTGGATGTTTCTAGATAACAAGAGACAAGGAAATTGAACAACCCAAAAAGGTAACATAGATATTGACGAAGAACAAAATGAAAATTTTCAAGGAGTAAGGAAAAAGTTGGGGCGGGGGTAGGAGGAATGTGATTCTAATTCAACCCATACAAATGACCAAGAGGAAAACAAGAAAACTACAATAAATTAAATTTAAGTACCTCAGTAGGCACTATTTGACCAGAGAAATCAAGAACCTCGGTCAAGTTCTGAAGTAATGATGACCAGTGCATGACTGAATAGCTAGAAATGAGATACACATCATGTTTTGAGGTAGCCCACACCAAATTCCTGAGCTGCACAGAACATATAACACTGTCAATGGTGGTTTTATATAAATTATATAAGGTGGATGGTTAAAAGTCATATAAACTGCATTCATAATGGCAACATGGAAATTTTTTATGCCAAGACAAAGTAAACAAGGACCCAGAAAAGAAAATAGGATAGTGTTGGAATGCGAAAGTAGAATTATCAAGAAATTAAAAAAATTCTTTAATTCCATAAACATTGTCCAGATGTTCGTCCGTATGCTACATCAAGAATAAGAGATCCGAATTTTTTACCTAAATTTGATGATTAATTTTAAATCACAAACTTCCATCTTTTTGGAGCACAAACTTCCAACTTTTAATGGCAAGAGCTTGATGCTTCAAATCTTCAAGCCTTCTATCACATTCTCCAAAATCAAGACTAGGGGTGGCGTGGGTTGGGTTGAGTCCATTTTTACCCAACCCAAACCATTGCCCAATCCAACATGGTCGGTTTGATCTAAAATCAAACGAACCCAACCCATTCATGTGTTCCAACCCAACCCAGCCCAATCCAATCAAGTTTCGATCTGGTTGGGTGGTCGGTTTAGACATTAAAAATCATAGAAATATGCTCTATAATAAAAACCTATCAACCACAACGCTTCGACCATGAACGAAAACTTGTATTCATGCATGAATGAAATTGCATATATTATACAAATTATCATCTCATTTAAAGGAAAAATAAATCTAAAATTTACATTTACAAAACATAAATGAATAATCAACTTAAAATTTAAAGTTAAAAAGTACCAAAAGGAATAAAAGTCGGTGATTAGCATCAAGCCTAGATGCAAGCAGAGTTGGCGACGATCGACGGGCTTGAACGAGAGAGAATGAAAGAGGGCGGCATTTAGCTTTATGGCGAGAGAGAGAGAGAAGTATGAGAAAAATATAAGACTTTGCAAACTAAGGCTGTGAGGTTTCAACTTTTTAATTTTAACATTTTTTTTAAATTTTTTACAATTTCTTTAGTAACGGGTTGGATTAGGCGAGTTTTATCGATTTTGATGGATTAACACATAATCCAACCCAACCCATTTTCTTTTAAAAAAGAATCTAACCAAAAAATGATAATAATAAAAAAATAAAATAAAATAAGCCAACGCAAACCGGTCAAACTGGTTTGGGTTGATCGATTTTAGTGGGTTGGCTCTATTTTTGCCACTCCTAATCAAGACTATACAGATGAGTGAGCATCTTCTTTTAATTAAATCATAAAACTAATTCTTGGACAGGAAAATTGAATAAAGCGAGAAAATAATTATTTTCTCTCTATCTCTCTCTCCAGATTTGAACATTGTGAAATCATATATTATGATTGTTGAAGGAATTCTAAGTTTTATCGAGTTTCTATTTATAGACACAAAATAGTTTTAATCAATTGTACAATAATAATTCTACATTCAAATAATAGTTTTAATTAAAATTCAAGGAGTTTTAGTTAAAGTCCAAATTCAATTAGTTTACATTTAATTACATGTGTAGTCCTAGAATTTCAAATTAGGTATACAAATTTCATAGTAATTACAACTTAAGTACAAATTTTATTGTAATTATGATCATAAGAGCCAATAAATTTGTAATACTTTCCTCTGAAACATGTATATAAATTTATCCCCATTCGAGATTCGATAATTAAGTATGAGCACAAATGACCGTTTTATCCTTTTAATTATTCTCACTAAATTATGTATCATTTTCTTCAATGTTCCTGTAAATTCACACTAAACGTTGAGCCCAAATTTTAACCATTCAAAACAAAATACTTAAATGGCCACTCTACCTTTTTTTCAAGGTGATGGTTCCTGAAACGAATTCATATTCTCTATTTCGCTCGTTCTCAAGTTCCCAACTCATCGATATATTTGACTAATCAAATTGATCTTACCCATTCATGAATCCAAGAACCATTGAAAAGGCCACTTCTGTTGACTTAAAATTAAAAATGTTACAATAAGGAACGGAAGGATTAGGGAACTCCAACCACTGTCCTTGGAACCTTATCTCATTTCTCTTCAATTTTCAGTAGTAATTTTAACATTAAATTAAGCAAGCCCAAAATTGTATTCCATACATTCCATTCAAAAATCAGAAAAGATAAACTTGCAAGCTAGGCAATCACTAAGGGATCAGCAATACAAGAAAGACACGTGTTAAATATAATTCTGTCTAAGAAGAATTTAGTTTTATGGAAAGCAGAGATGGAGACCTAATCTAGTGTTTCACAGAGAACAATTCCAGTTTGTGGAGAAAAAAACATTTATTTCACTGAATGGCGAAAATCTAAACAGAAATAGAAACTTAAAAGAAAAGTTCTAATTGAAAATGAGGTCTGATCATATTTAATGCAACTAAAGTCATCCTTCAAGCAACTAACTCCAGAGATACTTTGAGCAGACTTAATGTTTGGATAGCCTATTCCTCAACTCCTATTGACTTTGGACCTAACTGCTGCTAAACTAATACTCCAATTCCATTATCTAATTTAACATACATCAAAAATTAAAAGATGAAATCATGTTCCTGCAAATTCGTCATGTTGACAAATCAAGAGCTAATGTACCACAACAAAAATGCTGCAACAAGTACTAGATAAAGAGAAGTAGAGAAATAGATCGAGGAGAAGAGAAGCTAACCAAGTCGATTCTACGCCAAAGTAATCATGTGAAAGGAAACTTAATTATTTACAAGTAACACCATAGTTATGAAATCTTGAAAAAGAAAAATAAACCACCTGGAAATGAAGGATGGTAGGCTTCACTAATCTTGAATTGTGAAAGAACTCGAAGTAGTCGCTTCCCTTCTCAGTTGGTTTGCATTCCTGCTGTAATTAAACAAAGAGTTGCTAATCCAAATTTACATACTCAACAGGTATAATTAAAAAGTAAAAAACCAAAAGAATTGTTCATAGCTCCCACCTTATCAATAGCTTCCCCAGATGAAGGTATGCTCTCATAATTCCTATACTGCTCAAGCCTTGTCAATCTGTAATTTTCCCTTGTTATATTTAATCTATCCCAGGGAATTCCCTGTACATCTTTCCCTTTCCTTGCTTGTGCAGCCGATGTATCCGTCACTTTAGTAAGCTACTCAAACCAAATTAGATTGAATTACTAAATGAATACTTAATAAACCTAGTATACAGAGAAGAGAATCTAGATAAACTTTCAATTCGACTATGCCGCCCTCACCCATGGAAAAAAAGGCAGGAAAATGAAATAGGAAAGTAATTTACCATCTCATAATCATCCAAGATTTCATCTTCAGCAGCATAGTATTCCTCATTCATTTCATCCATGGAATCTACCCCATCTCTCTCATCCTCCATGTGATCCATTTGACCTACTTCGTCGTACGACATAAGACTTCCTGTAAATTTGCTATTCTAATAATTTGTTATTAGTTAGTTAAGCACGACATTGCTAAAATTAAGCATTTCTGTAACCCCACAACAGAATATGACTTATAAAGATCAAACCGCCTTTTCAATTTCATTAATCAAAAGCAGAACACATATTTACCTAATAAAGGAATGTTAATTGTAGAGATAAGAGAAACAAGTACAACCAATGAAAAAGTAAGATATACATGATATCTAGCCCACAATAAAAAAAAAAAAAAAATAGAATTCACAAACCCCCAAAAAAAAAAAGTGCAAATTTACCACAAGGGGGATAAAACAAAAGATATCCCACTAAGTTGACATAAAACCAGGCTCAAATGCAACCGCATACGCAGTAACACATCTCCTCTTATAACGAATAAATCCAGAAATCGAAGAAGTGAAAAACAAAAAATTACTGTTCAGGCAAGCTTAAAAAGGAGGGCAAAACACAAGTGAAAAAAAGCGCCATACTTGCACACTGATGAATTGGATCTTCGTTTGAAATCTGTACATTACCTGTAAACTGATGCCTCAAAACTGGTGGATTTAGAGTAGAACTCCGTTGAAGAAATGATTAAGAGTGTCTGATTTCGTGTGCAGTGGAAATTATGAACAATAATGTGATTTGTCTTGTCGGGCAGAAGAAAAAAGAAACGTCCAAAAAAGTGAGATAAAGGATGAGTTGTAGAATAAGAATGAATGAATGCATGCGCGCAAGTTTCTATTTCATTGTAATGTGGAGCAAATGGGGTTTTGTGGGCTCCAAGATAATGCTTTACTTCTCTGCCGCCCCCCACTCCACCCCACACCACCCCATACCCTATAACATTCTAGAGTAATGCCCAGTGTGTAGGCCCCACATGTATTAAAAAAAAAAATTCGTGGACTCACGCATGTGTGCGGCTTGGCAGGACCGTGAAGTAAGCTTAGCATGATTCTTCTTCTATGGGTTAAAAACCTTCGTCCATCACCTTAAAAATATGCTCGTCAATAGTACAAATTTTACTTAACGCCTATGTTTCCATTCCACAAACATGGTTATTGACAAGAATTTATTGAATTTATCGTTGGAGCTTGTAATAAATTAAAAGCTGTTCAATCAAAAGCTTTGAGCGTTGTACAAGAACGTGTTATATGAGTTACTCATTATCTTTTGAGTGCAATTGATCGTCTACTTTTCACGTTCCGTGAATAATCGGGACATTGAGAAATATTCAAAAATGTATTTTGAAAATCAATCTATATATATCTCTGTTCATCTATTTGGAGGAATGAAGCATTAAAAAGAATGAATATTGGCCTTCTTTCAAATAGAGAAGGATCGGTCTACTTTTACATTCAGGGTCATGCTGCATAACCATAATTATGAACCAAATCAACCAGTCACAATCAATCTTTGGGACTAAAGGGGTAGATATTATAAAGTAGCTAGATATTGATATTTTAGAGCAGAGGGACCAGTCACGAGTATATCTGTAAGTTCAGGGATAGAACAAATCCTTAAGTTAATTATTTATTGTTTAATGGAATATATTTAGGTGACAAGTGCCTAATTTATGACAAACGAGGTAATATGAGTCAAAAGTGTCATGCTACGTTTCTTAGAAGATTAATATGACAAGTGCCTAATTTAGTTCGTTTGGTTGCAATTTTTCACCTCAAAAAATTAAATTTTTTACTGTTATTTTACTATTTTAGTCATCATTTTTTACTTCTTCACTCACGGATAGAACTCACTTTTCTTTCTAACGATCAAAAAATCAATTCTCATAATCATTACCGAACATGCCCTTATTCATGCAAGCTACGAGTATTTGATATTTATATCAAATCAATAATTTAATATTGGAAATATTGTTTTTATAATAAGGAATTGTTGTATTTACAATTTTGTAAGTATAAATTTTAAATTTTTTATTTTGTGTCCGCGGCGCAAATGGGATTTTACTTAAAAGGAGTCAGATATTGCTCAAAAGTATGCTACAAAAAACAAAATCCGTAGGGATGAGTAATCCTTGAAATTTATCGAGTAACGAATAAACATTACTAGTGCACATAATTATTTCTAGAAAAGAATAAAATTCAAATTTACTTGTAATGACAAATAATCTTCGGAATTTGTCGATTAAGGAAATGCTATGAATAGTTCAATACGAGTACATATAATAATTTCTACAAAACATCATATTTGTGAGTTCAAATTCATTCATACAGATTGATATCTTCAAAATTCGTCGACTAAGGAAATGCCATGAAGAGTCCAATACGAATGCATATAAAAATTTCAACAAAAGATCTACTTATAAATTATAATTTTAAATTTACTCATAGTTACGAATAATCTTCAAAATTTGCCAAGTAAGGAAATGTTACGAATAGTCCAATACGAAGGCATATTAATAATTTCCATGAAAGTTTCTATTTATAATTTCAAATTTTGCTTTTGACCATTTTATTTCTCTTACTAATTATTACATGCTTATGTAGAGAGGATGGTTAGGTTAATCATTAATTTTTGTCTCCATCATTGTGTCATTTTAATCATCACAAGTGTAGAAGAGCTAAACTACTTCATTTTGATGAATGGTGCGATCTTAATCATCATTTTACATGTTCTTAACTCATTACCTTTACGAAATTGAAAAATACTATAATAAAATTTTATATTTTTTTGATATTACACTCACTGTTTGATGACTATTATTTGAAAAAAAAAATTGAATAATGATTTTTAGGAAAACGCATGATTAAAAAGTAAGAGAAAATTTTGAATTTATGTTCAGAATATTTTCTTGTATGAACATATGATTAAGAATAAGTATGTAAAAAAAAAAAAATTTCAAATAATGATTGTCAAACAGGAGGTTGAATAGTATCATTTATTTTATTAAATACATAATAGATTTTTGATTTGATATAAAAATAATCGACGTATAGTATTTGAAACTATAAATGTCTCAACTATAATTGTATGTATCGTTGATCTCAACGATACTTTTTGAAATAAAATGTGTAATTTTTCTCTCAATTTTCTCCCCAAAATTGCCTCTTTAGATTCCTTGAATTTGAATCCCACATTTTCGTTGTGCAAAGGCCTATTTTATTCGAGTTTGTTAAGGGATGTGTGGATTTAGTATTTATGACACTTTGTTCTTCACACTTAATTTTCGTGCAAAGGCATGATGCAATAACATCAAAGTTGACTTGTCAAAATTTGCACTTAGACGAGTCTCGTCCAATTATATGCTATCTGAGACCTCTAATTACGTTTTTCTGATCAAATGTTAAAGTTTTGAACATTTTTTGTTCACACAAGCTTCAAACAGTCGAGGCATTCCTTTATTTAGGAAAGCCTCGATGATCAAGCAGTGCCAGTTGTGAGATTTTCGAAGTTTAAGACGAATTTCATAAATTAGGTTTCAAAATTGTCGTATGTATGCAAAATTTATAAGTGTATTATAGAGTCAATAATTAACATGTTAATTTAAAATTTAACAATAAAATAACAAATAAAATGTTCTATACAAAAGATTTATATTGTAATCAAATAACAAAGTCGACAATGTTCCCAACGATCATTTAAATACTATTCATCTTGCAATTTTAAATGCAAAAATATTAATCAAATTTGAATAATCTATCTGTTCAACAATTTATTTTTCAATTGATAATATAATTAATATATTCAATCTTTCTTATAATATAGTTGATTGGAAATAAGGTATGATTAACAAAATTTTGTAATTAATATAAGCAATTGAGATGTCTTCAAATATTGTAGTACTTCAATTGCTCTTGTTGCTTCATTTGTTATAGCCTTTCAAGACATGTAACTTAGAATATCAATCGTCTCTATTAATATCCGAACGTCCATTATGTTGCAAATACTTTTTAAGTTTCATACAAGACTTCAACATATTGAATAATAATAATAATAATAATAATAATAATAATAATAATAATAATAATAATAATAATAATAATAAAAAATTGCATGCCTTAACCTCTTCAAATTTAACAAAAATTCAAATATCTCTTCATATTATTTAAATTGTTCAAATTGAATCTTAGAGAATATAGAGCTTTATTAACTATAAAAATGAGGCATTCAATATTAAAAGATGTTTCAACTGATTGATTTATCTTATCACTGCTACTTTTGTCCAATTGCTTCTTTCTTCAAATTATACGTTTTTTTTTCAAAATATAGTTTCAATTCACATTTTACTTACCCTTTTTGTCAGTTTATCCATGGCAATAGTAAATTCAACTTTCCTATAAATTTCAAAAAATGAAACAATTTATTGTAAGAAGTCGATAATACCATTAATATCCATATTTTCGATTTGAAGAAATTTACTCGTAATATTGAATGCATGCAATAAACTTTACCAGATTATCATGCCAAGCAATAATTCAAAATTTTGAAGTTCATATATTGCTAATGATTTAACTTCATTCTTTGTCTTAAGATCTTCATTAACTTATGCTAAGTTAAGTGAAACATCTCTTATTTTAAATAAATAATTGAATACTACCTATAAGATGAACAAGTTGAGTTGAATATAAAGGTTGAACCCCAACTTTGAAGGCCCTCACCATCCCGCCTCTAGAGGTTTGTCAGCGAGGTAAATCGCAGTATATGTCCCAACAGGTCAGGGAATAAGAGCTGCATGTACACTGCGTTTACAAGGAATCAAATTTCATGTTTCAGGAATCGAACCCCCACACTGCGGCTGCCAACAAGGCGTGAGATAACATCACTCATGTCCTTTGCACCACTGGACTATGTCCCGCGAGGCAAGTTGAGTAGAATATAGAAATCATTGTAACATGAGTTTGAGAAATCTTAAGCCACTTGCCCTTTCTGTTGTATTTGAAATGAGTCTAATTTAAAAATGAAATTCCCACAATAAAAGAAATATATTGGGTCTTATTTATTAATAGAATGGAATTGACCTAATTTATCAAATTTTTAATTAAAAAAATTGTAGCGGACCTAATTTAAAAAATAAAAATAAAAAAGGAAAAAGAATGATTGAGGCTAAAATATGAGGCCCCGTTCTAATATTGGGCTTGAGAAGCAGACGTCGTACACATCTATGCAAAATCGACCATGTGATCAAGACATGAATATTTATTCCATGACACAAGCTAGCAACTCAATCATTCTAAAAGAGATAAAAATTCTTAAATTATTGAAAAAGAAAAAAAAATCTATAATATAATAAATAGGATTTCTAGAAGCTTTGCGAAATTCCTCGTTCTTTCCGTTCCGTTGTAACGTCCGCAACAAGAGCTGAAGTCTTGGCTGAAGTTCCGTAAGCCGCCCTTCGTAAATATATTAACTTCCCAACTAGTTTTTAAAAAATATTTAAAATTATTTCTTAATATCATATTGCATGTTTTGTGTACGGTCAAATGTCTACCCTCGTGCAAGTTTTAAATTTACATAATTGACTTATAAGCAAATATTTTGAAGGGTCAGAGTAATGTTGCATAATTTCTTGATATAATCACTCTTTTCCGCTTTCGTTCAAAGAGGGGAAAAACATGTTTGACTAAACTTGGAAAAAATAATTTTTCTTCCAACTTTTACACCACTGAATTATTTTAGATAATTACTTTTTCAAGTAATTGAAGTTACTTTCTTAAAATAAATTTTATTTTATTGTCAAAATAATATATATTCACACACACAGAGAAATGATCTTCTAAGCACCGGTGACATGACACATCATTTAATTAGTGAATTATTAAATATATGGGACCTACCATTAACTT